GGAAGTCTTCATAGGAGGAAGAAGATTGATGACCTCCTATGATCTTATCATTGAGACATCTATGATCTTGGTCACTGAATACATGGCTGTATCCCAGGGGTGAAATCCTACCGGTTCAGACCGGTTCAGACGAACCACTAGGGATTATGGGCATCAGTTCGCCAAACCGGTAGTAATTACCCCTCCTTGGCCCCAACTGGTCGCCGCTCACCTCTTCTGGCCGCTTGATATTCCACAGAATTCAATGTTAAATGCAGCAGAGAGAATGCTAACTTTTCTCCCTCCATTCACAACAGAACTGCTGCAACCTGTTCCTTTTAAGGTAGTCCCCAGGAGGGAGTGGGATGGGGGGGAGGGGGATCATCTGGAATGGAGCAGGTTTTTTTGTGAAAGGCAGGAAAATGGGGAAGGGGATTTTCCTGCCTTTCATCCATTCCTCAATCTCAGCCCAGACTGAGGGAAGGATGGTGGGCAGGAATATTCCCTTCCCCATTTTCCTGTCATTCGCAACAAGGAGTGGCTGGGAGGGGAGGGACTGGTGAGGAGCCCCTCAATGTGAGTGATGTTGAGTTGGCCACGCCCAGTCACATGACCTTCCCCCAACAAGCCACGCCCACAGAACCGGTAGGGGAAATGTTTTAATTTCACCCGTCGTATCCCCAACACAAACTGCTTCTTTCCCTATTGGACAGCTGTGAGTTGGCCGCACAACAGCATGTTGGTTGCACTAGTGCTAGTCAAGACAGTAGGAGACCAGCATTTTCCTCCCTATTCATGTCAGGGCTTTACACAGGGGCTCAGAGATTTTTTGCAATTAACCAGAAGTCGGCAGTCAAAGATTCAAAGACCACCCTTGAAGAAAGAAAAGAAGCCCTAGAATGAATGAATGAATGAATGAAGATTCACCTAATGCAGAATCTAATAATCCAAGTACAATCCAATGAAAATAAAAACCCTTACCTCTCTTTCTGGTGTGCTTTGGTAGAGATGGATTTCTTGACCTGAAATATGGGGGCCGGGGCACAGGGGTGTCCATCAGAGAGAGTAAAAACTATAATGGCGTCAACCTTGGCCATTTGACTGAAGTTCCTCCCATGGAACTTGTAAGTAAGGGCAAGGTTTTAATTGGGCTGTTGCTTGTAACCTCTTGATTTATTTTTGACATCTCCCCTCCTGTGAATGTCCCTAGGTGGGCACTGGCACTCTGTTCTTGGTCTTGTTTATCCATGGCAGCTTCAGCCACTACTAGGTGCATCACTCTGCTAAATAAATAATTCCCTCAATACTATCAAACTATTCACTAAGTCTGCATTACTATTACTATTAGTCTTCTCATCGTTCCTATCACCCATCTCCTCCCACTTATGACTGCATGACTGTAACTTTGTTGCTTGTATCCTTACGATTGATATTGTTTCCTAGTATGATTTGATTGCTTATTTGTACCCTATGACTAGTGATGGAATTCAGCCAGTTTGCACCACTTTGGGAGAACCAGTTGTTAACTTTCTGAGCAGTTTGGCAAACTGGTTTTTGGAAGAAACCATTAGGGCAGAGAACCAGTTGTTAAATTACTTGAATCCCCACCACTGCCTATGACTATCATTAAGTGTTGTACCGTATGATTCTTGACGAATGTATCTTTTCTTTTATGTACACTGAGAGCGTATGCACCAAAGACAAATTCCTTGTGTATCCAATCACACTTGGCCAATAAAGAATTCTATTCTATTCTATCAGAGTTTTTGTCTTAGACCTGCGAAATTTGGTTGTTGTGGCACAAACGTTTTTGAGCCACTTTGAGAATTTGTGAAGAAGCTTCCATGTTCACCATTGATCTTCTGGTTTTGGGTGGGGGTAGGAGGTACTTCTGAGTTTCTCCTCCTGGAAGCTTCTGGTTGTACCAACCTTCTTAGTTCTTTGGTGCACTCAGTGCTTTCAGAAGCCGATGAGACAGTCTGGAAGAAGTAATGCCCAACCAGTTGGGAACAGGTTTGGTTAGAAATACCTGAGTGGAAATGTTTGCTGGGGTGGGCGATTTAAGTATCTGGTCTTATTTTAAAATATTGTATTAGCTATATTATCAGCTGCGATCACTAAAATCTTGGCTCCTTGCAAGAATTCAGATGATAACATTGTAGAATTGTAGAGCTGGAAGGGACAACAAGGAAATGTAGTTCAACCCAGACAACCTTCCCTTGCTAGCTCTTGTCAAAATTTATGGTGATTTCCTTTGCTTCAGATGTGAAATGGATGCCTTTTCTTCTGGATTATGAACACTATTCAGGGAAAAAAAAGACTGCAGTATGATTGGTAAGGCATCTGGCATCTATTCTCTCATTTATGATAGCGCTGGTAATATGATAAGCTTTATGGCAATAGAGTGTAATAAGAATGTGATAAAAAGAATACAAGTGCAGATCTTTGCAGAGTTTCAATAGCAAATCAAATTAAAACACCACCCAATCTTGTATCTCCATAAGTTTCCAGTTTGGATTCTGACTGGAAAAAGAAGCTGCAGGACAGAAAGAGACAGGTGAGTGTTACCTGCAGATGCTTAGACCTACAATGGAGGAGCCAGAGGTGCAAGAATGGGAAAAGATGTTCATTGGCTTCTTTGTGATTCACAACTACCATATTTTTCAGAGTATAAGACTCACCTTTTTCCCCCCAAAAAAGAGGGTGAAAATCTGGGTGCGTCTTATACTCCGAATGTAGCCCCACCCAGCTTCTCAAACGGAGGTTTCAGAGGCTGAAAAAAGCATCAGAAAAGAAGCTTCAGAAAAAAAGCCCCCAAACAGAGCTTCAGAGGCTTTTTTTTTGAAGCTCTGTTTCGGAGGCTTTCAGAGGCAGGAAAAAAAGTTTTTTCTGAAACGGGGTTTCAGAAGTTTCAGAGGCAGAAAAAAAAAAAGCAAGGCACAGAGCTCACAACCAAGGAACCTCTTGCTAAAATTCACCTCTGGGAACAGCTGATTGGGGGCATTCTGGGAGGCCAGTCCGCCTGCCAATCAGCTTGTTTCTCCAAAAACTAAGGTGTGTCTTATACTCCAAAAAATACGGTAGCTTGAGAGGGAAGTTTCTACACTGAGGTGTTTTTTAAAGTCTGTTCTTCAAAGCATCGATCAGAGAGACACTGAAGGGCCTGAGCTCCCTCACTTTGGGAGATATCAGAAGGAGGCTACTAAAAAATAAAATAGCCTCTTTGCTTCTTGTTTCATTTTCAATCCCTCTGAGAATCCTGCTGCCGTATTTTTGCATTGCAAACTTTCAGGAGCTGAAAAGGGGCCTGCCTGGGATACAGGTGGCCCAATGCAGTAAGCCAGATAGCTGGGGACCCACTTCCAAAGTTTATCTACTCTTTTTAAATGTTAAGTTGCTTTAAAAGACCAGATGATATTTCCTATATGTACTCTTTTCAGATTTTTATTTCTGCACCTTGTCTAATTTTTCTGGTTTATGTTTCTTCCCTTGGCACGTGGTTTTTAGCTTTTAAAGATTCCTTTAAGGTTGTCCATTGAGTTTATCATCTCAGTGTGGAAAAGGAAGGAAGGGAAGGAGGGAGGGAGGGAAGAAGGAAGAAAGGAAGGAAGATGGATGGGAGGAGGAAGGAAGGATGGATGGATGGAGGGAGGGAGGGAGGGAGGGAGGGAAGAAGGAAGGAAGGAAGGAAGATGGATTGGAGGAGGAAGGAAGGAAGGAGGGAGGGAGGGAGGGAGGAAGGAAGGAAGGAAGGAGCGAGGGAGGGAGGGAAGAAAGGAAGAAAGGAAGAAAGATGGATGGGAGGAGGAAGGAAGGAAGGAGAGGGAGGGGAAGGAGGAAGGAAGGAAGAAGGGAGGGAGGTGGCGCAGTGGTTAGAGTGCAGTACTGCAGCTACTTCAGCTGACTGCTAGTTCAGCAGATCAGCGGATCAAATCTCACTGGCTCAAGGTTGACTCAGCCTTCCATCCTTCTGAGGTGGGTAAAATGAGGACCCAGATTGTTGGGGGCAATATGCTATTTAGTATACTGTCTTTGGTGTAAGCCACCCAGAGTCCTCGGAGAGTGGGTGGCATAGAAATATGACTAATAAAATAAAAATAAAAAATAAAGAAGGAAGAAAGGAAGGAAGATGGATGGGAGGAGGAAGAAAGGAAGGAGGGAGGGAGGGAAGAAGGAAGGAAGGAAGGAAGGAAGGAAGGAAGGAAGGAAGGAAGGAAGGAAGGAAGATGCTGCACCTTCAAAGTTTTCTGCCCCTTCTGTGGACGCCTAAGGTGGGTGTACAGAAGACCCCAGAAGCTGTTTGTGCCCCCCCAGCTGGTTGAAGGGGACCAAATCAGTCGCCAGTCGATCTGGTTCCTTTTTACCAGCCCCAGGAGCACAAGAAAACCAGATCTGTCTGCTGGCTGCCTTCCTTCCTGCAGCGGCCTGCCGTCCCCGGAGTCCGAGGGGTGAGAACGCTCCACGCTCACAATCTATCCCAAAGATACATACTTCTTAACATTCCATAGCCGTCCGATTCCATATGGGCATATGAAGAAGTATGTAGACTCAGGAGGGAGAGACGGGAAGCAGCTGGGGCCGGCTGTTCTGCCGTGGATTTCCATCACCAGTCACCGAACGCCCTGCAAACAAAACAGAATCAAAGCAGAGAATGGAAGACAAGATTTGGCCGAGGCGGTCCAGAAAGTCAAGATGGCAGCTGTGGCAGGGCAATAGTACAGCTTTTAATAATTTTCTTTCAATCTGTCTTGTTTTATTAATGTTTTATCATTGTAATTATTTTCATTCCTTTTATAACTTGTAAGAAACCCAGGGTCACCTTGTAGGGAAGACGGACAGCAAAATATAAATAAATAAATGTAATGAATAAAATAAATAATAATAAAGCAAAGATATGACTGGGTTTGTGGGGGGGGTTGTTTTTTTTTAATTTGATTTATATGCCACCCTTCTCCGGAGACTCAGGGCAGCTTACAATGCGTTAAGCAATAGCCTTCATACTTCTGTATATTTATACAAAGTCAACTTATTGCCCCCACAAACTTGGTCCTCAATTTACCTACCTTAGAAAGGATGGAAGGCTGAGTCAACCTTGAGCCTGGGGAGATTTGAACTTGCAGTAATTGCAGGGAGCTGAATGTTAATAACAGGCTATTAGTCTGCTGCGCCACCAGGTTTCTTCCATCATGGCTGCCATCTTGACTTGACGGGCTCATCAGAATATCATCGGACTCCAGCTACCAGCCCTGGATGACATCTTCGCATCTCACTGTTTGAAGAAGTTGCACAACATTTTCAGAGACTCTTCCTATCCTGCTTACAATCTTTTTGGACTGTTGCCTTCTGGCAGAAGATACAATTAAAACTCGGACCTCACGTTTTCTGAATAGTTTTTATCCCAGAGCTATAATTGCACTCAACGATGAACTAAAGTGATGGGAGTTTTCCGAAGCTCCCATGTCACACCCCTCCTGCGTGACCTGCATTGGTTACCGGTTGCCCACCGGGTGAGGTTCAAGGTGCTGGTGATTACTTATAAAGCCCTACATGGCTTAGGCCCGGGGTATTTGGCGGATCACCTGCAGCCAGCAACAGCTCCCCATTGCCCCATGTGCTTACATAGAGAGGGCCCACTTGGGGTCCCGTCGGCCAAACAATGTCGGCTGATGGCCCCTAGGGAGAGAGCCTTCTCTGTGGGCGCACCTACCCTCTGGAATCAGCTCCCCTTGGAGCTCCGGGTAGCCCCCGACCTTCGCTCCTTTCACCGTGACCTTAAAACATGGCTGTTTCGTCAAGCTGGCCTGGACTGAATGGGGTTTTAATGGGAATTTTAGTTTTTATTGTTGAATTTTAATTGGACTTGTTGTTTATTGCTGTGAGCCATCCTGAGTCCTTGTGGAGAAAGGGCGGCATATAAGTCTGATAATAAATAAATAAACTAAAGGCCACCATCAGTGAGCTGTTGGACAGCATTACTTGGTCTGTTGTGTGGATGTTTGGGTGGTTTAGGGGTGGGGAATTGGGGTGGGTGGGGGGGTATTTGGGGATTGTTATGTGTGTTGGACCTGGTCTTTGGGTGTTAAGTGAATTTCGTTCTATGGGTATACTGTGTATACACATACAATGACAACAAAGTTATTATTATTAAAGGGAAACCTCCAAGAACGAATTTTGAATGGAAAGCTGGCTAGAGTCACTGATTTTAGAACTGGAATAAATAAATAAATAAATGACATAATCAAGCTCCCTTTGAAAAGCAAAAGAGGCCTCTAACCTTTAAGAGCAGGTGGGCGTCTCAGGAATTTTGAAATAGAAAATGTCATGGGTGCCCTCAGACATACCTCCTCGGCTTGAGAGTGGCCCCTTCAGACAATGACCGCTGTTGGGGATGAAGCCGCCATGGATCCATTTCACAGGAAAACCAAGCTGTAAAATGAAAACAGCGAGAAACTGAACTCGAGGCTAAGCCTGAGGGAATGCTGAGCCCCAGAACCTTTCAGTTCTCTGATCCAGATAAACCCATTTCACAGACACGCAAGCTGAGGATGCAAATGAGAAATACCTTGCGTAAGATGGTGACAACATCCCAGAGATAAATCTGACTCCTGAAATGCATTTGATCCGGCAAACGGTGAGGCTAAAATATGGATGTTTTCACACAACATGCTTTACTGGATCAGATCTAGCGGCTGCGTTTGCACAATTGTGTTTGGTTATCTTGATAAGGGTGATTTTCTACTTTGGTGGTTGAGCATATCATGAGAATCCACTCTGTTGGATTAACCTTAACCAGGGAACAATTTTTAGTTCAGGAACCAGGTAAGCATATTGAGTGAACTTAGTTTCCAAATATCTTTATCTAAATACAATTAATCCTCGCCTAACAACCACAATTGGGACCAGAATTTCCACTGCTAAACAAGACAGTCGTTTGCCACTGTTGTTAAGCGAATCATTGCAGTTGTTAAGCGAGTCACGAATCTGGCTTCCCCCATTGACTTCACTTTTTGTCAATGGCCAAGAGTCCAAATACTGTATTGATCCAGGGGTGAAATGCTACCAGTTTGGTTCGGTTCGACCGAACTGGTAGCGATGGCAGCGGGTGGTTCAGAGAACCAGTAGTGACGGCAGTGTGAGGCTCCGCCCACCTGCCCGGCCATCGCTACTTCCTGCTTTTAACCAGGAAATAACCTGTTTTTTACCCTCTGTGCATGCGCAGAAGGGTTTGCGCATGTCCACGTGTGCACGACACACGGCACGTGCACTTCCGAGCCGGTAGGGAAGGTAAGTAGATTTCACCACTGTATTGATCATATGATTGTGGGGGTGCTGTGATGTTGCTGTTATAACAGAATAGAATAACAGATTCGGAAGGGCCCTTGGAGGTCTTCTAGTCCAACCCCCTGTTCTGGCAGAAAACCCTATACCATTTCAGACAAATGATTGCCCAGTCTCTTCTTAAAAACTTCCAGTGTTGGAGCAACTTCACAACTTCTGGAAGCAAGTTGTTCCACTGATTAATTGTTTAATTTCCTGACAGTTTCACCAGGCAGGCCTGGTCTAATTTTCTCCCTCTTTTTCAAATTTAATTTTTAATATTTTTTAGTATTTTTAAATATTCAAATGTTTAAATTTGTTTTAAATTGATTGGGGTTTTAATCTGTCTGGGCCAAAACTATTTAATTTGATTTTATTTCTGCTTTTTAAATTTTGTATGTATGTATTTTATTGTTGGCTGTGCACCGCCCTGAGTCCTTCGGGAGTAGGGCGGTATACAAATCAAATAAAAGTAAAGTAAAGTAAAAAAAGTTAATTAATTAACTGTCAGGAAATTTCTCCTTAATTCCAGGTTGCTTCTCTCTTTGATTAGTTTCCATCCAGAGCTTCTTGTCCTGCCTTCAGGTACTTTGGAGAATAGTTTGATTCCGTCTTCTTTGTGGCAGCCCCTGGGATATCGGAACAGTGCTAACATGTCATCCCGGTCCTTCTTTTCATTAAACTACACATATCCAATTCCAGCCACTGTTCTTCATATGTTTTAGCTTCCAATCCCCTAATCTTCTTTGTTGCTCTTCTCTGCACTCTTTCTAGAGTCTCCACATCTTTTTTACATCGTGGCAACCAAAACTGAATGCAGTATTCCAAGTGTGGCCTTAGCAAGGCATTATAAAGTGGTATTAACACTTCACGTGATCTTGATTCTATCCCTGTGTTTAGGCAGCCTAGGACTGTGTTGGCTTTAAGTGCAAGGACTGGTCATAAGTTTCAGTGGCATTGTAACTTTGAACGGTCGCTAAACAAATGGGTGTAAGTCAAGGACCACCTGTACCGAATCACGAAATTGATCAAATCCACAGTTTAGTTTTATTTAAGGATTATTTATTTGCTTGTTAAATTTGTTTGCTGCCGATCTCACCACAAGGTAAAGATTGCCTTCTTCCTTTGGCCCCCATCTCACCACGCAGTCACACATTCCAAGATCCCTCCAACCCAATTTCTAATTTCTCTTTCAAATTCCCCTCCAGATGTGTTGGCTGGGATTGGCAAGAGAAATCGTGTGCATCACAATGTCATCACCCCGATTACACAATTTATGTCAAAAATAGATACAATGCCCCCCCCCACACACCATTTCTCCCCATTGAGCTGCCTTAAATCCCTCCCTGATGCCTTCCCTTGTTTTACCTCAGCTCGGTCTCCTCCCAACAGCAGTTAAAATTAATTCCTATACTCAAATCACCTGGTTATTAAATAAATCATCTTCCGGCTTTTCCCAATCGTAAACTAGATGCTGGACACTTAAGATATGATAAAAGAGGCAATAAATTGTTTAAAAAGGTCCCTGGCAGATCAAGAATCATTTACATCTGAAGATTACATAATAATCACAGGAATTCTGCAGATAATTTCCTGTGATTATTATACAAACTTCAGTTGTAAATTGAATTTCTTTGAAAGAAGAGTTAAGGCTTGACTGAGGCTGGGAGAGAGCAGAGTTCAGATGTTCGTAAATTGTAGTGACTGTTTTTCTTTCTTTTTTAAAAAAATAATACTTATTAAATTTCCAAAGATTAAAATAAACAGTACAAAAAGAAACATAATACACAAAAAAAAGCAAGAAAAACACACACACACACACACAAACGCAAAACAAAAAATATAAACAACCAAAAACAAACATATCAAAATTTCAATACTAATAACTTTTCTGCATCGCTATCTCAAACCTATTTAACCTCTTTACACAAATTCTACTTCTAAATATCTCTATTTTAAACTTACATCTTTATTTAAATTATCTTGATTTCTATTCACAATTCGGTCTCAATAACAAAAATATCCCTTAAATTTTATGTTTACTCTCCAGCCAGGAATACCATTTATTCCATATTAAATAGTACTCGGTGTCCTCCCTCTCCTTCATTTCCATAGATAATCTGTCCATCTCTGCACATTTGTATATTTTTTTTTATTATGATTTGATCAGGAGGGGTGTCAATTTTGTGCTATCACAATTCTACTTGCCCTTAGTATGTGTAATATGATATATTGTATACTTTTCTGCATTTTCCCTTCCAAAATACCCAGGAGAAACTTGACTGTTTTTCTTTAAAACCATGTTCTCAAGATCAGGCCTTCAATTCTTCTCCAGCCCATGAGGAAGCAAGTAACATTAGCTGTTCCAGTTTCAAAGTGGTGTTTTCCCCTCTTTTCCCAACACAACATGGGCCAGGCCATTTCAATGATGAGCTAGTTGTTGATGCTTTTAGAGTGAACCAGTTTGGTCTAGTGGTTAAGGCACCGGACTAGAAAGCAGTGAGTTCGAGTCCTGCCTTAGCCATGAAAACCAAATGGGTGACCCTTTCTCAGGGTCTTTCTCAATCTTTCTCAGCCCAACCCAGCTCACAAGGTTGCTGTTGTGCAGAAAATATGAGGAGGAAGGCCTGTTGGATATGTTTTTGCCACTTTGAGTTAATCATCATCATCATCATCATCTGCTCAGCTTCTATTGGACCATCTCCTTCCCCTCCAGTCACTCTAGTTGACTCAGCCTTCCAAGGTCAGTAAAATGAGGTCCCAGATTGTTGGGGGGGGGCAAGATCCTGACTCTGTAAACAACTTAGGCTTTTTTGGAAATTATATAGTTTAATTATTTTTCCACTTGAAGATTTAGGCTAGAAGATGGGTCTACTGTAGATCACAGGCTGGGCCTGATTAGCAATGATGGCATTGCACTGGAATAAGAGTTTCAAATCAGACCTTATTAAATCCCACTGCTTGGGCTCACCCAACACAAAACAACAAACCATGATGTACAAACAGAATGGCTTATTTTACTCAAGCTGAATAACCCATGTTGTGATTAATGGGATGGGTAGGCTTAGTCAAGGTCAAGGCGCAAAGTGGCTTGGCAAAGATGGGAAAGGAAAATGAACCCTTGGTCCATTTAGCACCCAGAAGTAGGGAAATGACCTTTGTCCCTTCTGTTGATAGTAGAATGACACATCATAGCACTGCTCAGTGCTTGCAGGGGTTGCTGGGAATTATAGATCACTACCTGGAAAGCTACCAGCTCCCTACCTTCAGCTGCTCCTTCCTGGAAGATCTGAGTGATTAAGAATCTCAACATAAAATACAGTTTGTATATCATCTGTCTGTCTGTCTGTCTGTCTGTCTGTCTGTCTGTCTCTATCTATTTATCTATCTATCTATCTATCTATCTATCTATCTATCTATCTATCTATCTTTCTATCTATCATCTATCTATATCTATCAATCATCTATCTATCTATCTATCTATCTATCTATCTATCTATCTATCTATCTATCTATCTATCAATCATCTATCATCTATCATCTATCTCTCTATCTATCTCTCTATCATCTATATTTATCTATCCAGAGGTGGGTTTCAGCAGGTTCTGACCAGTTCTGGAGAACCAGTAGTGGAAATTTTGAGTAGTTCAGAGAACCGGTAGTAAAAATTCTGACTGGCCCCGCCCCCATCTATTCTCTGCCTCCGAAATCCCAGCTGATCGGGAGGAAATGGGGATTTTGCAGTAACCTTCCCCTGGATTGGAGAGGGAATGGAGATTTTGCAATATCCTTCCCCTGGAGTCGGGTGGGAATGGAGATTTTTACAGTATCCTTCCCCTGCCACGCCCACCAAGCCATGCCCACCAAGCCATGCTCACAGAACGGGTAGTAAAAAAAATTGAAACCCACCACTCTATCTATCTATCTATCTATCTATCTATCTATCTATCTATCTATCTATCTATCATCAATCTAATCTAATCTAATCTAATCTAATCTAATCTAATCTAATCTAATCTAATCTAATCTACCTATACACACAGACACACAGGGCTCTATCAGATGGCAGTCCTGTAGGGGTGAGACCTGTTTAACCGAATTTAACCTAA